TGCAGTCTTCACACCAACAGTACATGTAATTCACTGTTATTCGAGGTTAACTCTTAAGAAATTTACTTTGTAGGTGACCAGCTGATTGGATAATTTCTTCCTGGTGCAAAGCATGTGATGTTTTTTTCTTCTCAAGTTCTCTTTCTTTGAAGCCCTTTCCAGATGCCTTATAAGAGTATCTTGCTATATGGAACCTAATGTATGATTTTATTGCAAAATATAGCGGGGTTTTGTTGAATTGAGGTCAAAATCTACGAAGGAAAGGCAAAATCATTCTACTGTTGTATATGTAATTATCATGCTCTGCCAGTTTTTACCCTTTTTTTGTTGTTGTGGCGGTGGGTATATTGAAGAACTTATGTTGGCATTGTTTGGCTGTGATGAAGATGTGCATTTATGGAGGTGGGAAGGTTAAGGTTCAAACTTTAGCAACTCTTGCAGCATGGAAACAAAATTGGACAGGATTTAAATGTGGAAAGACCATCTCTATTTCATTTGCTGTCCAATGTTTTGATCAGTGATTTGATGAGAAATAATGAGAAATGAGGAGAAAGATGACTATGTTTATATTACAAATTAGGTGAGTAATGATAAGAAATGAAGATAGATTTTTTAAGTTTATTTTGTAAGTTTTTTTTCCTCACAAAAAATATGAGACTTGTAAGTTGTGTAGATTTCACAATATTGAGATTGTCTATTAAAATACAAAAAATTTCTTCATTCCTATGTTAGCTACTTTGTTTTTCTTCTAAAAGTAACCATTTATTAGTATCATTATTATTGCTATTATTCCACTTAGACCACAATCATTTCCTCACACCAAACAGAGCCTTGGTTTTATAACATCCTTGTCCAGGATCCAGATTTTCTCCTTCCATTGTTATGACTCCCAAGGTTAGCAAGAAGATCAGCACATCAACTTCCATAACATGAGGAGAAAGAATGATCGGGTAGCTTCTTTGCCGAGATTATTTTGGAGTGTGATTTTATTTAGTTTTAGTTATTTAGATAAATTTTTTCCCCTAATTAATTAAATTTATTTCTGTGGATAAAGTTACCTACCTATATAGATAGATTAATCATCAAGTCAGGGGGAGGGTTGCAAAGTCTATTCCTTTCGCCCCCGGAGAGTCTCTCTCTCTCTCTCCTGATCCAATGGCATTGCCCTGGTCACATTTCGCCACCGTCTTGATCCTATTTGTCACCTTACTCAGCTGGTCGGAGGTCGTTTCCTCCTCCTCCTCCTCCTCTCGTTGCCTCTCTAACTCCTTCCTTGCCGGATCCTCTCTAATGGTTGTGATCCCAAGTTCAGGGCAAACAACGTTGACGGACTTCCCGGAACTCCGCTGGAAAATCGCATCGGCAGCTTGAGGGATCAGAATCAGACTCAGACTCTCTCCACCCCAACGCCCGCATGGGTCTCTACGACGATCTCCTTCGCAACGGGTATATCCTTCGTCCCTCTTCTCATCTTCTCTGTTCGCTTCCATTGAAATTGTGTTAATTGAATTGAATTGAATTGATGTTGCAGTTACTATACAACTAGGCTTTGGATCGGAACTCCTCCACAGAAATTCGCTCTTATCGTTGATACAGGGAGTACTGTTACTTATGTTCCGTGCTCTACCTGTGAACAGTGTGGTAGGCACCAGGTGTGATCATCAAATCCTTGTGTGTTAAAAATATTTGATCCACAGATTGCACATTGTTCACTTGCTCTGTTTGTTAGTACAGATTCTGTATGACCACATTTGTTTGCCAGAATGGGATTAGGGGAACAGGATCTTGGGATTGGGCGTAAAGGGACTCCCAGTATACGGTAGCCTAGGGCTATGAAGCATGGTACTGCAAAAACACATGCCATTCCGGCGTATGGTACCTCATATGCTAACCAAGTTTTTTCTTTTTAATTTTTAACCTACTTAGATGTAGCTAGTATATAGCCAAGTCCTACCGTACTGCAGTTGAAATAATATTTTCTTCTACTGCAGTTGAAATAATATTTTCTTCTACTACAGTTATAATATTTTCTTTTATTACATAAATAAAGTTCCTTTCATTAGGCTTTTTTTTTTTTTTTATACTTAGTATAATTTTAAAATTAACTATGATTTGTAAGGTATTTAATATATTGTCATTTAATTTTGATTTGTACCTTTACTTTTGACATTGAATGTTAATTGTAGATTGAACGTTAACAAATTAAGCCATTTAATTAATTTTTACATTGCTGTAAATTAAAAATAAATATTTTTTTACAAGCATACCAAGCTGTATCCGTACCCAATTTTTTTTTTAATTTAACCGTACCGCCGTACCCGTACTCATACCCGTGCTTCATAGGTATTGGGATAATTAGCTCGTGTTTGGTGTGTGGTTAGATTAAGTACACTCCGTTTTGTTAGCCACTTTATTTAGGACTAGAAGGGTGGCACACTGTATATGTGTATATCAAGTTCGGAAAGTTTGGAAAAAATATAATTTCATGATATGTTCATAATATATATGAAATGAAACACAAAAATCAAATTCCATATATACTTACATTATTGCATATATCCGTGTGTGTGTGTTATACAGAGAGAGATGAGCAATTCATATTTGGTGGCCATCACTGAACACCAATTATAGATGTGTAGAGTTTTATACAACGGTTTTTATGTTTGAAAATTAGAGTGTTTGATGCTTGGTGGTGTTGGCGCCGATGGGTTCTGTTGGGCACTGGTGAGTTTGAGGAAGAAAAGAACTGGGTATGGTATGCATATCATAGCTTTGAAAGGGAAGTTAATGGTTGGTGGGCAATGGTGGTGGGCTGTTGTTGTAGGCAGCAAAGGTCTGGTGACGTGGTGTTGTTTGCAGCGGAAGAAGACAAGACATGAGGAAGAAAGAAAGGGAGGAAAAAAATTAAGGGCTTAAATGTAATGCATTGAGAATATAATTATAATTATTACAATAAAAATTTGAATTTAATGCCAGTGCCACTTATGCACTGTTAACTTTAAAAAATTAAAAAAACAAAAAAGGTAATGGTTTCACGTTGCACTTGACCATGGGGGTTTCCTACTTTGAAATGGAGGGGTGTTCTGTGTTTTCTAGTCTCATTGGAGGAGCTAAGGTAAAGTGTGATGTACCCTGAATTATTTTTTTGAATGAAATTTTTTTGTAGATACATACTTATTTTTGTGTGTAATTGGATCAGTGTTAATGGTGCTTTTATTTTTGATCCATGCACTTCAATACATCTAACGACATACTGCAAAGGGTATCAAGAGGCAACTGTTATATCAATCAATTTTGACTCAAGAGAATGTTGTATTCTCAATTTCATTTCCGAACAGTGGATGAACATGACTGCTTGCTTTAATTTTGATTTTGCTTGTTTTCTTTTCTTTTCATAGAATTGCATGATGAAAGATTTCTTTCTTGTTTGTTTCTTTACATTTTGATATCATCAGCTTCCTTTCAAGAAAATATGTTTTCAACAAAGAGAGACATGTGTTGGTAAGTAAAGAAGTTTTATTAACAAGTAAGAAGGAAGCAACCCAAATACAAAAGGTGGCAAAATTTTCAAGAGAAGGCAAAACTCTCCTAGATGTCCAACTAACAAAATGGACAAAAAACGGCTTTTAAGCCTACAAAAGGCTCCTTCATTAACTGGAAAGTTCTCCTATTACTCCCCAACCAAATATCTACGTGCAACATTTTTAGTTACATAATTGGTCTTATGTGTGATTCAATCAAGGTTATGAAACTAGGACAATTTCTTACACTGCAGTTGCTTGATTCATAATTTGAAAGTGTTTCATTTATATGGACACATATTTTGCCTCATTTTTTTCTTCTTCTTGTTCTTAATGGTTTGGGTCATACTGTACAATGTGTTCACCAGGATCCAAAGTTCCAACCAGAATTGTCCAGCACCTACCAACCTGTGAAGTGCAATATTGATTGTACCTGTGACAATGATGGGGTGCAATGTGTTTATGAGAGACAGTATGCTGAAATGAGTTCAAGCAGTGGTGTTCTTGGTGAGGACATTATATCCTTTGGCAATGAAAGTGCACTTGCACCCCAGCGTGCTGTTTTTGGTTGTGAGAATGTGGAAACTGGTGACCTTTATAGTCAACATGCTGATGGCATAATGGGTTTGGGTCGTGGTGATCTAAGTGTTGTGGACCAACTTGTTGACAGAGGTCTGATTAGTGATTCATTCTCCTTATGTTATGGTGGGATGGATGTTGGTGGTGGTGCAATGGTTCTTGGTGGCATTTCCCCACCTTCTGACATGGCGTTCACCTATTCAGATCCTGTACGCAGGTATGTTTCGTGTAATTCTTCTTATAGATACAAAACATAGTTGTTTTTCTAACAAATACACTTGATACATCTCACACATTTACTTTAGTCTTGGGATGGCAACAGTCCATATTACAATATTGAGCTGAAGGGAATAAATGTTGCTGGGAAGCCGCTGTCTGTAAACCCTAGTGTTTTTGATGGAAAACATGGAACCATCCTGGATAGTGGTACTACATATGCTTACCTGCCAGAAACGGCATTTCTAGCATTTAAGGATGCTGTAAGATTCACCTTTCTCTATGCTCTACCTCTTCCCTTTATTATTTGTTTTTTGTTAAAATTTAAAAAAAAATAAAATTTGATTTTTAACTAATACTTCTGGGTTCTATTTGTGTTTGAGCTCCTAATGAGTCTCTGAAACATATCCTTTCTTATTTTTCTGGATAAGTAAAGAGGCTATCAAACGAATTCTAGACTGACTCAATTCTTTCCCTTTGAGGGATGTGATGGAATTAAAATAGACTAATACTGTGCCATTATTGTGTAATAAATAAGATAATATAGGGACTTGAAGGTTTAACATTTGAGATCTGATATAGAGCAGTAATCTCTAATTATAGTTGCATAGAACAGATACCCTGAGAGAAAGACAAAATTTGTTATTGACTATAAGGATGTGTTGACACTCTCTTCTCCTTCCTCCCTCCTTCCCTGTTCTCTCTCTGTATGTGGCATGTCAAAAATACCTCGAACTTCTTGATGGAGAACAACAACGAATTGGATGAAGAATAATTGAAGATTAAAAATTTTAGCTTGTTAATGAATTTTAGTTTAAATAGGATTTTGTTTCTTATTCACCTTACTAGCGTAATACGTAGAACCAAGGCCCAGCAAGGAGTGAGGAGATGATGTAGTGCCAATCATGCTTTGCCACCTGTGCCCCATGTATCAACATATCATCAATTTTTAGATCTTATGGTTTACATTTTCAGCCAAATTGAAGTATACTTTTGGCCTCTTTTGGCTCATTTATTTTTATTTTTTTAATCTTGCAGATTACTAGAGAACTCCATTTGCTTAAACGGATTCCTGGTCCTGATCCAAATTATAATGATATTTGCTTCTCTGGTGCTGGAAGGTTGTGTGAACACTACGTTAGTTTGATTACTTATCTTTGTGTTGCATGCAATGCTTAATCTTCTTCTATGCTTCAGTGATGTCGCGCAACTGTCAAAAATCTTTCCAGTTGTTGACATGGTATTTGGCAATGGAGAGAAGCTGTCACTATCTCCTGAAAACTACTTGTTTCGGGTAAGCACCTGAGTTCTTCTTGTTCTTCTTTATTCTCCTTTTTAAAACTTGCACTTCTGAAACGACATGTTTGGGGGGCTTTTATTGTCCTCACAACTGTTTAGTTGATATGTAGTGACTGATTGTTCTTACTTTGCTTTATCTTGTTGCATGTCTGTATATAGCATTCGAAGGTGCATGGTGCATATTGCTTGGGAGTTTTCCAAAATGGAAAGGATCCAACCACCTTGTTAGGAGGTATATTATGCTATGCCAAATGCCTGCTGACTAATTTTTCACCATTATGCACCCGTGTGTGTGAACATTTTTTGCTTCCTCCCTATTAGACGTCTTGTTATATTTCGATTGATTGATAGAAGTAAAATATAGCAAAAAAACATACAGCACATTAAACACAATGCTCTAATGTGATTAACCCCCACTAGCCCTAAGTTTGGAAAGTTCAGGCTAAGACCATTCAAACATCATCAATTACAACTACCAAACTCTTTTCCAAAAACTCGTTGAAATGTATTGAACCCAGTGTAGAAACTCAAATGCAAAACTTCACAAGTTGGAACATCAATGACATTGAAGCAAAATTCTAGCACAGCACAACAGCGTGTCTTCTGAAGTATCTCTAGAAAGCATTCTTCTCTCGTGGTGGACCCCTCATTTTTATCACACTTGAAACTTTCACTAAAAGATCTATTTGGTTAAGTTTTCAGAATTTTTTTTGAATTTTTTCAAAAGCTAGTTTGGTGAAAAAAAATTAAAAATTAAAAACACTCATATTTTCATATGGTCTTCCCTTTTTTGGGATGAAAATAATTTTTAAAATTCAAAAAAAAAAAATGGTGTTTATTTTTATCAAATAGTTACTAATTTTTCAAACAAAAATTCAAAAAACAAATTCTTGAAACTCAACTAAACAAGCATCTTTTCCCAATTATTTTTCTAAGTTTATTAATATGGCAATATGAGATCTGGGAGTGGAGTTGACCAAAAATTGTTCTAATCCAGCTTCTCTACTTTGAAGCACATGAATGAACATTTTATACTATCATGAAAACCAATCCATTCTGTCAAATTTTTTTATAAGTGCCATGGACACCTCATGGTGGAGACATGAGCTGTGATGCTACTCGTGAAAATATAATATAAATGTGGGCTTATAGAAAGTGAAAATTAAGTAGAAAATATTGCAAAATGAACATGGCATTAAGCACGCTAGGATTAATGAGGTTCTCCTAAAATAGAGCTAGGTAACAGATGAAGATGGTCAATAAACTTCACTAAAATAAAAAGATTACAAGATCCTAATAATATCTAAATGCCACCAGAAATAATCCGACCAAACCTCTCTAAATTGGATTAGATAACTGCTGGAAATTTGTGTTAATGCATATAATAAGATAGTGGCATATGATAGTGGTGTTGGTGGTAGATAGTGGCATGTATAGAATATGATAGTGGTGTTGGTGGTAGATAGTGGCATGTATAGAATATGATAGTGGTGTTGGTGGTAGATAGTGGCATGTATATAATATGATAGTGGTAGATAGTGGTAATATATAATATGTAAGTGGCATATAATGGGTTATAATGATGTTTGTAATATCTCCTATATAAGGAGTGTCATTTGGTCTTGTAAAATAAGAAGTTTTGAATATAACAGAAATATATTCCTTCTTCCTCATATTTTCGGAGTTCTTCTTCCTCATATTTTCTAAGTATAACGATACCCAGATTGAATCCTAACAGACTTTTTCCATAGAACGCACTCTGTTTGCATAGCTCGGCCCCCTGATGACACCGATTCCTGTGTTGACCAAATTTCTTCTATAGAGCTTAGAGGTAAATCCTTGTTGGGCAAGGGGTAGGAAATCCTTTTACCAAACAAAACAGAACCCTAAAGAGGAAATCCCTAGAATCAGGAAGTCAAACAAAATCCTTATGACATTTTAAAAATATAACTAACATTTCTTTTTCATTTTTTAGGCCTTCTATGATTTTTTATTGCAAACAATTTTTTTACAGGAATCCTTGTCCGCAATACTCTTGTAGCGTATGATCGTGAGAATGAAAAAATTGGTTTCTGGAAAACTAATTGTTCTGAGTTATGGGAAAGACTTAACATTACTGGTGCTCCTCCACCTATGCCTTCAGCTTCTGATAGAACAAACTCAACTGCAGAAGTGTCACCTACAGTGGCTCCTACTGCACCTGTACAGCAAATGGGTATGATGAGCTTTTATTTTTTGGCTGACCTTGTTCTAGCCATTTTATTTGAATCTGCAGCATTGGTTAATTTTTTTTTCGTGCTAAAGTTGGAACTGAATGCTTTTTTATTACTTGTATGTCAATAGAAATTGCCTACTTTGGTGCTGGATGGAAGAAGCATTCATGCATTCTAATTAAGCATTCATGCATTTTAAATCTATTTTACCCTGAAAAATTAGACAACTTGCGTCTGTTTTATTATAAATACACCTCCCCGGGGGTCGGGTTGGGAAGCGGCATCGGAAGGCTTGGGCCTTGGGCCTTGGGCCCTGGCACCTCTGTGCTTAATGTGGCTGATTTGGCTAGAGTGGAATCAGCTTATCTTTCGCGAGGTGGTTCATTTTGCTTTGTGGTTAGAGAAGAGGTTGTTAGTAATTGTGTATAGCTCCGGGTATGTTTCTCTTTTTGGATTTTATGGATGACTTGATTTGGTAGGGGTGGTGTTTTCCCCTTTTGTGGGCCTTTTTCTTTGTATTCTTTGGCATCAACTTGATGCTGCATTCAATAATAAACCAAACCAAACCAAACCAAGCCGTAAGTCTCATCAAATGGGATCGGCTACATAAATCCTTCTTCTCCACGTGGCCCTATCAGAAGCTATTTCGTTAGTCAAATTAAGTAGATCCATATCTCTATTTACAACGCTAACCAACGTTAATTTAGGCCTATCCCGTCCCCTAACACTTCCATCTACCGTTACAGTACCGCATCTCTTCACTACTGCCTCTGTTGGTCTCCATTGAATATGACCAAACTATCTTAATCGATTCTCTCTCAACTTAGCTTTTATCGGTGCCACTCCTACCCATTCCCAAATACACTCATTTCTAATTCTGTCTTGTCTAGTTTTGCCACATATCCACTTTAGCATTCTCATCTCGCCCTTTTCTTTGTATTCTTTGGCATCAACTTGATGCTGCATTCAATAATAAACCAAACCAAACCAAACCAAGCCGTAAGTCTCATCAAATGGGATCGGCTACATAAATCCTTCTTCTCCACGTGGCCCTATCAGAAGCTATTTCGTTAGTCAAATTAAGTAGATCCATATCTCTATTTACAACGCTAACCAACGTTAATTTAGGCCTATCCCGTCCCCTAACACTTCCATCTACCGTTACAGTACCACATCTCTTCACTACTGCCTCTGTTGGTCTCCATTGAATATGACCAAACTATCTTAATCGATTCTCTCTCAACTTAGCTTTTATCGGTGCTACTCCTACCCATTCCCAAATACACTCATTTCTAATTTTGTCTTGTCTAGTTTTGCCACATATCCACTTTAGCATTCTCATCTCAGCCACACTCATTATATCTATATGTTGTTTCTTAGTTACCTAACACTCCATCTCATACAACATCGCCGGTCTAATAGCCGTTCTATAGAACTTACCTTTAAGTCTAGTGGGTATTCGTTTATCGCATAGTACCCCAGACATACTTCTCCACTTACACTATCCCGCCTTAATCCTATGGGCCACATCCGCATCAATCTCCTCTGCTATTGTGATAATTGACCGAAAATGTTCACTCCTAGGCAGTCCTTGATTCTCAATCTTCACTTCTCAATCTTCACTTCTCCTCTGTTTTTATTGTTAATATTACTAAATTTACACTCCATGTACTCTGTCTTAGTTTTGCTTATCCAGAATCCTTGAGATTCAAGAGTTTTTCTCCAAATTTCTAATAATATTGCTTATTATCAACAACCAAAAAGCTACCCCTCCCCTCTATCTGCCACTGATGGTATTGATTCTCAATTTAAAAGTTCAAATAAAAAGTGTGTATATAATACCACTTGGGTAGCTTAGGATGCATAGCTACTATTTGCTGACTTACCTGAACATGTGGAGGCTTCCATTTAGTCTCTTTTGCATTTTCATTTTCATTTTCATTTTCTTGAACTTTTAAACCCTAAACCAATGTGTTAGATTGCTAGTTTTATCCCAACTGAGCTCAAACTGGCTCTTGCATTTCAGACATCATGCAGGCAGTTCTTTGATATGTGCTATGTAACTTTATACATTTCGGATGTCATAATTTTTTTCTTGAATTGAGTGCCTGATGTATATTTCCATGTGAACTTTGATGTGCAGGGGAACTTCAAGATGGACTCATAACATTTTACATGTTGTTGAGTGTGAAGTATGCAGATTTGAAGCCCCACATCACTACGCTAGCTCATTTTATTGCACATGAGTTAGATGTTAATACTTCACAGGTAGCTTTATTTGGAAAAATAAAAAAACTGAAAACAAATTATGACCATTTTAATGACAGGTTCTTGTTGCAGCATTGATTTGAAATTTCTGCATTTCACTTGTTGATGTCCAGTTTATGTCACCTACTGTAACCAAACCAAACCAAACCAAGCCTTATGTCCCATCAAAGGGGGTTGGCTACATGAATCTTTTCTCTCTGCTCTACTCTATCAAAGGCTATTTGGTTAGTTAAATTAAGGATATTCATATATCTATTTACTATACTGGCCCACGTCAATCTAGGTCTGCCCCTTCCTCTAATACTTCCCTCTACCGTCACTGTATCACATCTATCACTACTCATTGTATCGCATCTATTCACTACTATTTCTGTTGGTCTCCGTTGTATTATTATATATGACTAAACCATTTCAATCTATTCTCTCTCAGCTTATCTTCTATCAGTGTTACTTCTGCCCATTCATCTACTATCTTGCACATTAATTCCATCTTAACTCAGGGTGCCCATTATTTGGGATGAGTGGTTGCAGGTCCACTTACTGAATTTTACTGCCAAAGGAAACGATTCTCTAATAAGATGGGCCATTCTACCAGCAAGATCTGCCAAGTACTTTTCCAATGCCACTGCAGTGGTGAGTTTGCATTTCAGAATTGCAAGGATTTTTGTAAAGAAAACTGGAACAATTTGCTTATAACCATGCTAATTGGCAGAGTATTATTGCACCGTTAGCTGAACATCGTGTCCGGCTTCCTCCTAACTTTGGAAGTTATCAATTGGTTGAATGGAATATTGAGCCTCCACCAAAACAGTAAGCTATTATTTATATGCTGCAGTTCTCTTTACATTTTTCTGCTTCATATATTTATCAATTGGTTGAATGGAATATTGAGCCTCCACCACAACAGTAAGCTACTATTTATATGCTGCAGTTCTCTTTACATTTTCTGCTTCATATATATATGATTGCTTCAATGACTTATTGCCCTAGTCTGCTTCTTGAAGCCCGATGCATGCTATAAAAGTGTGGTTAATGTGTCTTCTCAACCTACATTTTGAAAGAAAAAGTAGGGATTTGGGACTCCTTAATTATGTCAGTAATGCTCCCTTGGTTGTCAGGAAGACAAAAAAGGACTAAGATATGGAATAATCTGAAAGGTTACCGTTCCAGTGGCTGTTTTTAAGATTTAAGCCTTTTCCAATTTTAGAGAGAAAGAAAAGACAAAGTATTTTCTATTTCTATTGAATCCATTGCAGAACCCACACACACATAAAAAAGCCAAGGAATGGCAAATTTTAATAAAAATGATGAAATTTAAATTTATTTATATATCGTAGCGGTAAAGCTACCCCTTGGTGACCTGGAGGTCATGGGTTCGAGTCGGGGAAACAGCCTCTCTGCTTGCGGGGTTAAAGCTGCGTACATCAACCTATTCTCAGACCTCACTTAAGCAGGAGTTTCGTGCACTAGGTACGCCTTTTTATTGTAGAGGAATTAGATCTCACACATCAAACCAGTACTTGTTAATGCTAGAGTGATCCAATGTCTGTTTTTGGATGTAGGAGCATCAAAAGTGGAATTGTTTATCCCCTGTTGTATTTTATCTTCCAGTTACTAAGAGTCGTTACATTTTTTGATTGTGGACATTGGTTGTTTCACATTTTCTTTTTAACCACTCATCTGGTGTCTATCATGCTGCTTACGTCACGTTTGCCTGTTTTGGCTACCCTTACCATTTGCTTCTTGAAATGTATAGAGAGATGGTATCATATGATTCACATCTTCAGGTTTTCTTATATTGGGCTTGTTTTTTTCTTTTTTCTTTTTTTAAAATGATGCAGGACGTGGTGGCAGCAGCATTACATGGTTGTAGCTGTATCAATTATTGTCACACTAGTTCTTGGATTATCAGCAACTGGGGTATGGATTGTTTGGAGACGGAGGCAGCAAACACTTGTTTCATACCAGCCCGTTGATGCTGCTATTCCTGAGCAAGAACTCCAGCCGCTATGAACACACAAATCATCTTGGCCCTGTGATTTAAATATTATGGTGCAGCATTTTTGGCCCTAGAGTCATAATTGATTTCTGCAAGCACAGCTACCAAACTGATCGAAATTTTGTTTTAAGGACATATACTAACCTTTCAGGGCTTTCTATGATGTTTGATTAAACTGGGATAGAACTGTTCAGTATGTCACATATATAGAAATTTGTATATGAATATTGTTAAGACCTCACTGAATCAGAGGTCTGATCAATAAGTGGATTTGTGATTTGATTTGATTTTCTTTCTTGTACTTTCATTTCCAATGTTTAACCTTATACAGCTGTAGCAGATTTGTACTACGGTGAAGAAATATGTTGAATGTCATATCAAGGTTTTGTATTTGTCGATCTACCAACCCTGACGGTCCATTTGGGCAGAGCCGCTATTTACTGCAGTTGAAGCAAAATAGATTAATCGCTACACGGATGGCGGTAGATCCATTTGCGGCAATGTCACACACTACTGGTTCATTCAAATTAATGTTTTAAAAACTGGACCGTGAGTGAATCGGAAAAGAGATCGGGTGGGTGGACAGGTCACTGGTTCAATCGTCGAGTTGAACCGAAATTAAACCGTGATGTCATAATCATTTTAGAAATATTTTTATGATTTAAAAATAAATAAAATACATTCATTAAAAATATTTTTATAATTTAATAAATATATATTCATCAAACATATATGTTTATATTAATATTATTTGTAAGAATACTAATTATACATGTGTGTAAGTGAAATTAGTTTGAATACAATTAATATTATATATTTCTTACATATTAACAAGTAGGGATGGCAATATGAACCCGGTCCGACGGGGACCCGTCCCGATAAATAGGGTTTTCTCGAAAAATTATTCCCTATAGGGTTGGGGCTGGTATTGAAAAATACATCTCCGATGATTTTCAGGCCGGGGACGGTGATAGATTCCTTGGCCCCGGCCCGGCCCCAAAATCGCCGAATAATCCCCCGTAAATTTCCCTAAAAAATCCCCGCCTGTGTGTTTAGTTGTATTATATATATATCTCGCTCATTCTTTGACTCTCTCAACTCTCTCACTGACTCACTCTCTCAACTCTCATTCTCTCTCTAACTCTCTCAACTCTTTCGTCTCTCTCACTCTCTCATTCTTCTCTCTCTCACTCTCATCGACATGGCAACACAGTCACCGACTCGTCTCTCTCTCACTCTCAGTCACTGACATGGCGACACAGTCACCGACTCGTCTCTCTCTCACTCTCAGTCACCGACACGGCGACACCACCACCACTCTCTCTCTCTCTCACACCTCGTTTGCTCTCTCATCTCTCCTCTTCAGCCGCTGATCGCACACCACCACCACCGCTGGTCCAGACTTCGATCTACAAATGACGACATCGACTTAGGACAAAAACCTCAGATCTCATTTTCTCCATCGTCGATCTCAAGTCTCTCCATTGCCGATCTCATTTTCTAGATCAGTGTTGCTTGAATCTGTTTAGTGGATGATGATGATTCTAGATCTGTCTTGTTTGAATCTGTTTAATGGATGATGATGATTATACATCTGTGTTGTTTGAATCTGTTTAGTTGATGATGATGAATGGTTGTATTTTTTGATTTTTTTTTTTTAAGCCGGGAAATGTTTGGGGTCGAGGAAACCCGATTCCCGTTAGGGGACGGGGATGGGGGCTGTGATACGTTCCCCGTCGAGGATCGGGCCGGGGCAGGAGAAAATTTGACCATCGGGGATCGAGGACGGGGAAGGTGATCCCCGGCCCCGCCCCACCCCGTTGTCATTCCTATTAACAAGGAATCATGGTGGCAGAGTGGAAATTTATGTTCTTCGGAGCTTGAGGTGTTGGGTTTAAGTCCATTTAGTATTAACTTTTTCAATATTGAACCAAACATAACAAACCGGTGCGATTCACTTCAACTTGGACCAGGTCAACCGGTTTAACCGCGGTTTCCACCGATTTTGTTTAAAATGATCGGTTTTCAAGAGGAGATCGGGTTAGAGAGTATATTCGAACCGGACTATAGATCGGTCTACGGTCGAACCAGCCGGTCCAGTCCAGTTTTCAAAATATTGATTCAAATTGTGTAACTGTGTTTTTTGTGGTTAAATTTGAGTCTCTAGACTTTTTTTTTTTTTTAGGCAGCATTATATCAAATGAAAATTTTAAAAAATGATGTGACAAAGGGGAACCAAGGATAGATAGGGTGGGGTAGGAGGGTATCCCACTTGAAGTCCAAAGAAAACGTTGAAACACGGAGAGGAGAGGGAGAACCAAGCCAAAGCAGGGGAAGGTGGAACAAAAAAGATTGCGATAATTTCAACGTCGATACTAGGGCCTTGAATTGTCGAGGCATTCGACAATTCCTCTCTTTCCCCATCATTATTTATTTATTTTTATTTTTTTTTTGATTTGGTTTGGTTTTTTTTTTATTTTTTTTGGGAAGGGTGATTATGTATAAAGACGTGTTAAAAAATTAGACATCGTGGATCAATTCAGCCTAAGTTAGACTAGTTGGATGATAAAATTAACTGATTAGTTAAGCTATTGATTAAAATTTGTTAATTTCATATAATTTTATAAGAGTCTCTGCTAATTGAAATAAAAATATAGTTAGGACCAATACAAAATTATATATAATTAACAAATTTTAATTAGCAGCCTAATTGATCAGTCAATTTTATCATCTAATCAGTCTAACTCAACTCACTCACATTATCAAACCACACAGACTGAGTTAGTACAAAATGTCTAATTTTTTGACACACCTTACACATTACCACCCTTAAAAAAAAAAATCAATCGAGACATTCGTGCCTCACCCAAACATTTTCCTAATTTTAATGTCTATTCTGTTCTGTTCTACTTTGGCCGACACGTCATCAACTATAGACACACATCAATAAGGTTGGTTGCAGTCTGGGTCAATGATATGAAAAGGGGTAAGAGGAGAGAGGGGGTTGAGGTTGGAATATCCAAAGGTGGGTGGACGATACGTGTTATTGTTTAGTCTTTTAAATAACATGAGCACCTCTTTTGAGACTCTACTCCTATTTCTAGAACCATTCTACTCTTCCATGACTTGGCCTGCCCCAATCTAGAGTGATTTGAGATGATTTAAAGAAATCCTAGAGTGATTGGAAATGATCTAAAGAAATATATATTTTTTTATTTTTTATAAAAAATTTATATAAAAAAATAAAGAAAGTGAATAGAAAAAAAAATAAAAATATTAATAGACATTAATTAATATGATCCAAATAAATGTATATATATTAAAAAAATATATATTTTTTTAATATATGCCATACATCTACTAATATGGTCTAAGCAACAAACAACATTAAACCAAACTACTGTGTTCAGTAAAAATATGGCAAATGTACTTTGCCACAAAAAAAAAAAAAAAAAAAAAAATTACTTTTTCCTAATGTGTATACTGAGTAAATGATATGTATTGAGGGAATTGTGATGTGGAAATAAAATTACCCTAAGTAGATACTTAGATGTAGGAAGATATATATATATATATATTATTTAGAGTAAATTGTATTTGTTATCTTTGTAATTTGTTTATTTTGTCAATTTAATCATTTTACTTCTAATTACACTAATTTTATCGTTAAAATTTCGTATTATATCAATTCAGTTAATGTGATAGCTTCACTTAAAAATATTAGACTGAAATCAAATAGCAAACTAATCTATTAATTCTCCACGGGTAAGTAATTGGTGTAAAATTTGAAATTATAAATTTTCTTTTGAATTAACTATTTTACCTTGACTACTATCCATTATATCAGTAGTTATTAATTGAACTTAGTTGACATAGGCTTCATTTGGGAAGTGAGTTGGTTTTTTAGCTTTTTGATTTTTTTAACTATTTTAGCCTAAGCTAAAATGCTTTGTTTGGGAAGGGTATTTTGGTTTTTTGGCTTTTTTGTGAGAGAATAGTGTAATGATTATGAGTTGAATGTGATATTTTGTTTTTTGTGTGTAAAATAGCCTATTTTGTCTTTTGTGGCTAAAATAGCCAAAAAAACCTAAAAACCAACTTGCCAAACAGAGGCATAGTATGAAAAATTAAATAACAAAATTAATATAATTGAAACTATAAATCAAATTCACACAAAATAAATCACAAGAACCATGTGCATAATTTGTTATGTTAATTATTGTGCTTATATATAAACTTTAAATCCAAATTTAGGTGGTGGTTATAATAGGATAACGGTGGCGGCGGCTATGCACGATAATTGTAACATAATAGGATGATAGTTATGATGGTGGTAGTAACATTAGTAATTGATGGATGGCAATAAGGATAGCAGTGACAATGGAATATTTTGAAAAGATGGTTAAAAGTTATTTTTTAATTTTTTGACTTTCTTGTGAGAGAGAGAAGTAAGTTAAAAGATGAGAAGTGACTTTTAACTCACTTTTCAAAATAGGCCAATGTTGCTAGTGATGATAATAGAAAGGAATGATGATGGCATTCAATGGAACACTACCGTATATTATTTTAAAAAAATTATTGAAATGGAATGTCAATTTTTTAATTTAAAAAAATGAATGAGTATTTTATTTTTTATTTGAGTGATACTATATTTTTAATTTTGTTCTTTCAATTTTACCTTTAATGTTGTGATTCACTTCTACGTGAAGTGATCCAATACTCTTCTATCTCTTATCATTAGTCTTTCTAATTCTACGTCATTATGATAAAATTAGGGGAACAAAATTAAAGGGATGAATCATTATTCTTTTATTTTTATTTTTTTAAATAACCATCCTAAATAGAGTAACTACTATCATTATATAAAACATGCGAAATAAGAGAATACAAAATTAGAATAAATACCACAGGTGGTGGTGGTAGAGTGAAAAGGCGCTGGCCTTCCACACAAGTGAGTAGGGTTCGATTTCTGGGAGCACAACTAGCGTTTCCATTTATGGTTGAAGCTGATCACGTTGTATTCTGCTTGTGACTCTACCTCTTAGATTGGAGGTTGGTGCGTTCTTCTCTTACTCCGATGATGAATCCCTTCCTAGGGGTTACGGTAAATCTAATCTAAACACTCTAGCCTATGGGTTGTAATGAAAAGGCGTTGGCCTTCCACACAGGTGAGTAGGGTTCGATTTCTGGAAGCACAACTAGCGTTTCCATTTATGGTTGAAGCTGATCACGCTGTATTCTGCTTGTGACTCTACCTCTTAGATTGGAGGTTGGTGCGTTCTTCTCTTACTCCGATGATGAATCCCTTCCTGGGGGTTACGGTAAATCTAATCTAAACACTCTAGCCTAGGGGTTATAATAAAAAGGCGCTTGTCTTCCACACAGGTGAGTAAGGTTCTATTTTTGGGAGCACAACTAGCGTTTCCATTTATGATTGAAGCTGATTACGCTGTACTCTGCTTGTGACTCTACCTCTTAGATTGGAGGTTGATGCGTTCTTCTCTTACTCCGACGATGAATCCCTTCCTAGGGGTTACGGTAAATCTAATCTAAACACTGCAGCTTAGGGGTTATAATGATGTCACCAAAAAACACCATTTTTTTGAGTTAAGAAAAAATAATAAATAAATAAATATTCTAGTTCCATCCTATATTTTAGTGTGTACCAAAGGTTCCAGGAGGGTAATTAAGCTAGTATTTTACGTTTTTTGCGACAAAACCTCTTTACAATGATAACTGTCTCACTCTAATCCCATCACATGCACCAACGTCTAGTGTGTATGTACACGAACACTTTTTTATTTTTATTTTCAATGTTTATTACTAAAATTTTTGAAAATACTTTTTTTATTTTTTTTTAAACAAATATATATTTTTTCTTAGAAAGAAGAAGTTGTATTAAACTTATTTTGAAACAAATTTTCATTTCTTTATCACTCTCGTCACATTTAACCACCCTCATTGATTAATCATCAATTATGATAATTTTGATATTATGATCTCTTATCTCTCGAAACACACATTCTAATCACTAAAGCTCACTAAACTTATATATATATATATATATATTATATTTCTTATTAGCCAAATTACAAATAGCAGCAACAATCCCATGAATAAGATATGTCAATTACTTTTCTTTTATTTTTCTTTACCGTTAATTTTTTTTTTTTTTTTTTTTTCAAATGGCCCGATTAATATTTCTGAAGTAGTCATAGATTTGAAAAGTATAGAAAATGGGGGAGAAGGGGACTTCTATGATTCTTTTTCTTCCGCCTGACTTGGCAGGTAATTAGAAGTAAATGCAAAGCTCTCTATAATTGAAGCTCAACTAACAATGAAAAAATAATGGGATAATTACAAAAAAATAGTTTCAGAATTTGAGTTTTGTAACAAAATAAATCTTGAATTTTTAATTTTATCAATTCAAATCTCAATCTTTTGAGTTGTTTTTAATGTAAACTATTCATTTATTTTTGTTAAATAAAACTTACATAAAAGAGTATTTTAATCATTAAACTCAATTTAATATATATAAAATATCTAAAATATTCATTTTTATTGAGTCTAATAAATAAAATATTATTTTTTTTACTGATTTTATTTTATAAAAATAAACAAATGGTTTAAATTAAAAACAAAATAAAAAATTTAGAATTTAACTTGACAAAATTAAAAATTCAGGATTTAATTTGTTATAAGAGTCTAATGTTATTTATTTTATTTTTTTTAATTTCTCCAAAAATTTGAATAAATTATATAAATGAAATTGAAGCTCAATTAACAAACAATACTTATAATAATACAGTATAGTTTTTCTTGTAATATAATACGTACATCATAGTAATAGCAATAATAAATAAAAAGATGAGATAAAAAAACCGTCATAGAACAAAGAAAGGGGAATTTCAGAAATCTGTGGGGGTTGGAGAGGGGGTTGCGAAGAGGGTAAAACGACCAACTTTAGCTCTTGTCTTCTCTCCTCTCAGGTAATGATACTCTCTCTCTATATTCTTCTCTTGCTCTGATCCATCTAGGGTTTCATTTTTCTGGTCTGATTGCTCATCTCCTGCTCATTCTTCGAGATTGATCGTTTTGGGTTCTCTTCAATGTTCAATTAACGTGATTCAAATTTAGTCACATAAACATAGACCCATCTGGTTTATACATCAAGAATTATAGTTCTCCATGCCCATCGTTTTGCGAATTCAAACATTGGACCTACTGAAATTACAGATTGTAATTTTATATATGTCTTCAATTATGCTGTACATGTTTCTGTGTCGAATTATATATATGAAAAGTCTTCTTTTTAAAAAAAAGAAAAAAAATTATTTGTGAGATTATAGGATTCTGAATTAACATCTGGATCATGGTTTATGGCATGGCCAGGTAGATGGGTTTTGGCACCTCTTGTCTTTTTAACTGGAGCTTGGCATAATGATCTATTTTGACGTGATTTAGATGATTCAATTTCTAAAAAGGACCGTAACTGGAAAGGAGAAAGGGAAAAAATATTTGTTTACTCAGTTTGAAAATTTGTTATCCTTCAGGTTTAAGTTGGTTTATCCTTATCTATATTTTCCTTTAAAGATTTCACTACAATACTTGTTTGACAAGTGGGTCTTTTTATTGGATAACTATGTCCTTGCGCTCAAGCTTTTAATTTCTTCAGAGTAGTACCCTTGTTGACTTTGGCTTTATTGATTATTAAATTAGATTTGTTTGGAACCCACATCTATAAATTGGTGTAATTCCTTTATTGTTCCATTAATAAATAATTGAAGATTTGAGCATCTTGATTAGTTTTCAGGATAATCTTTTGAATCCAACTAAGGCAACATGTCACTAGGTTCTTTCAACAGTAGTATAATCTTTTTAATTTTTTGAAGTAAACCTTTTCTAAGTTTGTCTTTCAACCTAACATACTCTTAGTATCTTAAACACGAACAATAGAGTTACTACTTAAGTTCTACCATCCTGCTTTATTTTATTTTTATTTATTTTTTGTTTGGGAGTATGTTGAAGGCCTCCTCGATCTCTCTTTTTTACATATAGTTTCAAGATATTGGAAGTGGTCATTTTAGGTATCTCTCAGTCGTTAAGTTTTATTATGTCCTCTTTTGTTCCTCTTGTAGATAAGAACTATATTCCATTTGTCTTTGTTTAGTTCTGTGTGTCCTAAACAGTTTAAATTTTAAAAGTAACAGTCTACATTTGAACTTAGAGTAGAACCCTAGTCTGGTTTTATCAGTTACCTATATACCATTAATATCCATATCGTCAAATATTTTCTTGAATATGCTGAACATGTTCACTTGTCATCAATGTGAAATTGTTGTTTTGTGGAGAAGAATCTTTATTGTATAACATGATTTTGAAATTTTATTTGTTAAGTATATTTTTTCTTAAAGTTAGATGACAACTGTTATGTTCAGTTTTCTTTTCCTTGTTTATCTGGAACATATGTCTTTCTCACTTATTCTTGGTGTCATTTCAATGTGTGGTGCTCATGCTTGTTAGATTGATGACTACGAAAAACAGAACTTATGTGCTCTTGATCTATGATATTAGGCTCTTCCTTGGAGATACTTGATTGATATGTGCAAATTAAAACTCTTGGTTGGCATTTAGATAAGTATGTCTTCCAAACATGTGCCAGCTGGACATAAATACAAGTAATCACTAAGTTCTTTTATATGTAGTGCCTTGGCCCCAGTGGTAAGTTGGGGCTAGTATAGAGTGGATGACACGGATTGATCCCACTTTTTATTAAGAAAAGAAATTACTGATCGCTTTAATTCTGAAACCCACATTAGGGGAACTACTGATCTATTGTTTTGGGGTTTCTCATTTATTAGCATACTAGTAAAATGCATGTGCTAACCATTGGTAGAAACATAAATTTAAAAAAAAAAAGAAAGAAAAAAGAAAAAGAAAAGAAGGATAAGTTGGGAATGGATTAACTCAAAAAGCTAATAAGATGATAATTGTATTTATTCTAAATTGACATTGGTAAAGACAAGTGAAACTGATGTTGACCGAGATTGAATCAAGAAATGCACGTCTGAACAGTGTACATACTTAACATAATATATTCGAATCACCATATAAGGCATGAAAAATTTCATTATTGTCTATTACAGTTATGTACATATTTAACTCATGATTGGCAATTACAATTATGTATAGATTTATGACATAATACTTGAACAAAAATGAATTTCCCTTTTCCATGTAACTCTTGAATGTTATCATGGAAACAAGTTCATGCAACCACATGTGAAATTTGCTCCTATCTCCATGTATATATGTATTTTTTTTGTGTGGTAAACACATCATCATAATTTCAAAGGTACGTAGCATATACAATAAGTACAACCAATAAGCTTTTCAAAATCAATTGGAATTTCCAATAATTCTTAGTAGCGTATACAAAGAAAGGACAAATAGAACTAGTAAATTTACATTTATGTGCAAAAGTTAAAAAGAACAACCTGGAGAGGAACCCAAATATCAACTTCATATGAGAAAAATAGCAATATAAAGATAATTTTAAGATCTCTAATTATATGAGGAACTTGCATGCACGTTGTACAAATTTAGAGCAATGTAGAATGAAGACAAGTTCGTTTATGAGAAACGATTGAGGAAAGATAATAAAATAATTTTAATTAGGGTTTTTAAAGGTGCTGGTAAAGTAGTGCTGAATGATGTGCTTCTTTCTATTCCCAAAAAGAAACTCAGTAGTTTTAGATTTCTAAACAATTTGCAACAAATTACTTGAATAGTTATTGTAATTATTTCTACATAGGAAACATGTTACAAATAAAAAGGGTAAATCAAGGCATCAGGGCTTACTTTGTCAGTATCTTGAGGTCATGCTTGCAAGTCAAATTCTGCTTGTCATCACCACTGTCTAATCGGATCTTAGCCTTGATGTGATGATCTTTTGTTTGGGGTAACAGCCTTGATGTCGTCCTCATTGATATCAACATCAGTCCATTTGAGGCAGCTCTTGAGGTTAGCATGGCCCGTCTTGCCACGCTTATCTCTGTTCATATCCCCAGACACCTCCTCTATCACAACCCAACCCTTATTTGTCCCTTTATTAGCACTCAAAACCTGCTAGAATTCATTTATCAAAAAAAAAAAAAAAAATCCTGCTACAATTCAGTATGCTTTGTGTACTACTTCCTGTTTAAATCTGCCATTCACCAGACTATGCCCTCATCTTAAGGTCTGCTGCTGGAAAATCTGGTGTAGGACGTAGAGATGCTGTGATTTTGTGGTCAACATTGATCACACAACTGCTTTTCTAGGTTTCAATGTTGGATCTGGTGCCAGATTTATGCATGTATATATGTGGAGGGCATTCGTTTATGGGAGTTTCAGTGTCTAAGTTGAGGAAACATGATATGTTATAGGAATGACAATCATTGCATAATGTTCCTTCAGCAAACTTGATTTGTTGGCGACTGGGTATAGATGCTGTCATTACATGATGTTGCTTTTGGTGACTTACCTGGTCATAATATTATTTATTTATTTTTTTTTTACAGGGCATTGCTGGACAGAGAATTTAAAATTTGGAGATCCTCCAGTATGAGTTTAATCTTTTGAACCTCTAGGGCATGCGTCCTTCTTGAGAGTGTTGGAAAAAAATGTTTTCTCCTGTTTATATTTTAATTTATCAAGGAATGTGAGGATAATCACTGGAGCTATTAAGTTGCTTGTGTCAAATAAAAGGTTTGTGTCTTTCTTCTCTTTGATTAATAATGTGGTTATTACTTGCGTCAAGATTTGATGAATTTCTATGCTTAAGCATCTGTCTTTTATTTTGTGTTCAATACTTTGATTCATTTTTATTACTCTTTTTAGGGCTGATACTTTGTTTACATTTCAATGCTCAGAGTTGTTTATGACATGCATGTTTGCTTTCATGGTTCAATGCATTTGCAATTTTACAGTAGCCTTTTATATAGTGTTGGAGGTGCCACATTCATCAACAATTATTGCTTTTGATTTTGTTTCGGTCTTTTTCATATTATTCTAGGAAATTACCTTGACTTTCAAAAGTGCACTTACTACCTCTATAGTTCTAGTAATTTCACTGAACCCTATTGTCGGTTTGTTGGGTAGGTTATTGGAGACAGTGAAATGATAAATGACAGTTCTATCTGGCTTTATTTGAACATATTTTAATTCAAAAATAAGATGATTGAGTCAAAAAGTCAACAAAACACAAAAATATTTACTCTCTCTTTGTCTGAACAGAAACTAGTTACCACCACCACCACCACCTTTTCCCACCTCCATTCCAAGGTGGCTGGTGTCTTCTTCATCACAGTGGCCATCCTCCATGATTTTCTTGGGCATCTTTGCACCATGTACAATATATATATTTTTTCTTTTGGAAATTAAGAAAAAAAAATCATAACCAAGAAATACAGAACATTGCAGACCCAATTTTGGTCTCTTACTGTCTCTGCCATTAAAATCAAAGAAAATTTTTGAGTATGAGATTGAAGAGATTACTCTCTCTCTCTCGCTAAACGTGTGTGTTCATGGACAGTGGATTTGGAAAAGACTATGCTCTCATCCATAATCATTTCGCCTCAAATCACCATCGCTCCTAACCAAGTTTAAACCCCCCATTTTTGAACCCTGGTTTGGACCCCACTGCCAATAATAACCATAAAGCTTCCCTTACTGCCAACTACCATTAAATTGACAATTTAGAAAAGTGGCTTTGGCTGTTATGACAAAGACTTGCTTACATTGGTATTGGGTATAGAAGAAGAGGGGCTGATAATCTCAACAATTGCCAAATGCCACTGACCATCGCTCCTAACCAAGTTTAAACCCCCCATTTTTGAACCCTGGTTTGGACCCCACTGCCAATAATAACCATAAAGCTTCCCTTACTGCCAACTACCATTAAATTGACAATTTAGAAAAGTGGCTTTGAATGGCCAACCCTAGAACACCTTTTGATTGACATTCAACACGGCTGCTTAGAATGAAAAATAATGGGGGAAAAAAATTGGAGATGGAGGTAGAGAACTCAAAGATTTGTTTAAAGTAAAATCATAATAAACTAATTGATTCTTTGTACTAGAGTGCCAATGATGAATTAGGTTGGAGTTTTTTTAATTATTTGCATCAGAGAGAAAATTTGGTTGTTTTGGGTGCAACCTTGGTGTGCCAAACCATCATCAAGCTACTGAAGAAATTGTTGAGAGAGAGAGAATAAAAACTTTTGAGAGTTGCAGAAGTTTTAGAGATGAGAGAAAATTTACAGAATTAAAGAGAAAATGTGAAAATATTTAAAGAGGACAGACATTCTAGAGGGAGAAGGGAATTTAGAGTAGTTACAATCATCCACTCATGACCACCTTCCCATCACAACCATCACCACTGACCTTCCTTTGTCTCCAAATCAATTCAAAACTACCACACGAATCTCGAAGTTCATCAATGAGGGAGCATTCTTGCCACCAAGAAATCCAAATCACTCTTATCTTAAGAAGCACGAACATGGACACACCAAATTTTCAAACGTGTAAGACATGACAAGTGGGGGATGTGTAAAATAAATAGTTTCAATATTTTTATTATATGGCATATATATGGGTATTTCATTCAAAAACAATTAAAAAAATACAATATAATACTAATTGATGAAGTTTAAAGTATGTATTTATCTATAGGTGTTTTTCTTATATCATTAGATCCTAAATTATTTTGTTCAAACTTGTAATGCATTTCACTTGTGTCTGAACGATGGGTGCGCATGTTCCCTAATTGTCTAAAGCGTGTCTGGTTCTAATTTTTTTTCAAAAAAAATAATAGGACACTTTTGGAGGTGTGTCTGACACATGTGGAGAAGTGTTTGATGGCTGTTAGTGTTTGAAGTGTTTGACACAAACACACCAAATTCTGATAAGTGTCCATGCTTCGTAGCTCATATTATTGTAATAGGACACATTTGGAGGTGTGTCTGATACATGTGGAGAAGTGTCTGATGGCTGTTAGTGTTTGAAGTGTTTGACATGAACACACCACATTCTGATAAATGTCCATGCTTCTTAGGTCATATTATTGTAATTTAAAACAAACTAAATTTATTTACACAAAGCAATAATTTTGTGCACGAGGTGATCTATATCAAAAACACCTAAAAGTGTATGTTAGGCTATGGCTTTGACGGTGGACACAAGGGAGTTATAATGGTGTTCATGGTGAGTGATGGAGTGGGCAAGGAACTGGAACTGGGGATTTTGATGTGCCATGAGGTTGATGAATGATGGAGGTGATGGTATGGTTGCTAGAAGAATGTGATTGATTGGGTTTGATGATTATGATTTATGAATATGAGAGAGAGAGTTGGGCATGATGATTGGTTTAGATGCACCATTGTTAACAACATACCAATGGTTCACTGATTGGTGATATTTTTACACCTGGGTGATGGCAATAATTATTGTTGACTGAACTTAATAGTATGCATTATCAATTAGCATTGTTCTCATTAATGGCTTGTTAACAGGAGACGAGTATCTGTTGCAAACAAATAAAAAAGAACAGAAATCGCCAATCAAAAAACTGAAACAGAACAGAAACCAGTGTAACTTCCAGGACGACAGGAGCACCAAGTGTATTTTTTGACAAACCTCAGGAGAGGTCAAGGTGATTCACCCAATTCTTTTTTTCTCTTGTGCTCCATTGCTGTATATGCTGAGGTGGTCATGCTTTTAGTTTGATAACTGGGTATGGAATCTATCTTATACATGGGGTGTGTCTGCTGGTTGTGCCTCCTCTTGGTGGATTTTGATTGATACATATTCAAACTCAGCACCAGAGTTTACAACTCATAGACTGGTGTTTTATCTTAAATAAATTGCTTCCATCTCTCTCTCCCCTCTTTATTGCTGGTTGGACTTGCGATTGGTGGTGTTCCTTCTGTCCATGGAGCATCTAAGCAGATGTTGCGCACATATATTTTGGTTTACTATTATCTTTGCCACCCTGAAATCATGGTTTAAACTTTCTAGACTTGCATATCAATTCTATTTTATAGTTTTTTGATAAATTGCATATCAATTCTAATTAACCTCGGCAGGGATTTGTCTCCAGCTTAATCTTATGTGTGAAGTCCCAAATATATTTATTGCCTCCTCCTCCCTGCTCTTAGAATCAATGGCTTCATTGTTGGAGTTTGTAACTCATGGATGTCACTCATGTTAATAGCAAGTGTGGTTTCACTTTAGAATGGTTCTCATTGTTTTTGTTAAAGATTTCATAAATTTTGTATGTTATTTCCATTTTCACTAGTGAATGGAGCTTTGACCTTCAGTCGCAAAAGCTTGATTGTGAAAAGCCTATAACAGCTTAGGCTACATGGCCAATTTTGGATTGCTATGGTTTATGACAATTTTTCTGGTGAAAGTTAATTTAAAATCCTTTTTCCTTTTTCTTTTTTGAAGTCCGAGCTGTTCCTAGAATTATGAACAAATGTGCTCTCTTTGATTGAAATTTAATAATAACATTGTCACATTTCCATTTTTTCATTGAAGAGGATTTCTCGTCCTCTTTTTGTCATATGTAATGTATGTTTTCTCATCAATAAAGTGTTTTTTTTGCTGATAATATATATATATATATATATATGTGCTTGCTTTTTTATTTTATTGCAGTAGATTGCCGTGTAATTTGTACATCATATTTGCAGTTTCATTGTAGTTTTTGAGTCAATGTTGGTGCTAAAATTTATCACTGATGATCAATAACTAATTAGTTGTTCTGTTCTGTTCTTGAAACAGGCGTGATGGAGATATCATTGTTAAAAGTACTTCTTAACCATATCTCTTCTTTCTTTCATTTATCATCTCATGAAAGCATAAATCATGAACCGGCTCAGAAATATTACCAAAAGATTGAAGAGATATTGAAGCTGTTAAGGCCTGTGCTTGATGCAATTTTTGATGCTGACATAATGTCTGAAGAATCCCTTCAAAAGGCTTTTGCAGAAATAGGTCATTCTGTCAACGAACTGAGGGAGCTATTTGAAAATTGGCATCCATTAAGGAGTAAAATTTATTTTGTACGTTTCAGGCTTTATATATGCAGTTTTTGTTTTCTGAATTTTAGAAAAGTAGATATACCTTACTTTATAATTTAATAGAGGTAAAATACTGCGAGTCCTTTCCTTGTAAGATCAACATTCTTAGAATGTGTAGAATGTTGATCAGTGCAAGATTGAATATGCCCTTAATTTGTAGTAGCGATTGTACTTTTGAGCAACACATTTATCAAGGGGTGGAATTGTCTTTTAGTTTCCAAATACAAGTGATATGGATACTTTTGTTTAACAACCTTGTTCCATAAGCAAAACAGCATCTTGTTGTGATGATTCACTTTCATGCACTATATTTGTTCTATTGTCATCCTTTCTCCCGAATCAGTACCCATTTTTATCCTGGTTTTAAACCTGTTTAATGTAGTATGAAGAGTTGGTTTTAGCAAATGGCTGTTAAAACTCCTCTTTCTCACCTGGAACCAAAAGAGTTGGGTTTTTGGTTTTAACCGAGTATATAAGAAGCATCTCGTTGGATGGTTAGGATTCATTTTTGGTTAGTCGTGTTACACGGTCTTGGGTAGAACACACCCCAAAAGCTAGCTATTAAGGTGAGGGTGCCCTCATACTTATATGTTTAATATTACTTTAGTACTTAGGTGATGTGGGACTTGACTTCACAAGTCGTTCCTAGGTTTAAGGAAGAATTCTTATTTTATGTGGCCTGTTGTGACATTATGACATATATAATTGGACATACATGAATTAATTGTTTTCACTAGACTTCTTTATGTCTGGAGCCTTTTTTGTACTGAAAGCTCAATTTCTTCTAACTAGCATGTTTTGGATGATCTCTAGGTTCTGCAAGTTGAATCATTAATATCAAAGACTCGGGCTTCTGGTGTGGAAATTTTCGAGCTGCTGAAATCTTCTGATCAACATCTCCCTGTTGAATTGAATGCATCGTCGCTTGAGGTATCAATTAAAGATGAGTTATTTTTATGTTTACCTTCTTGGGCTGGTTTTTAAGCACACTTTACAATTCATCAGTGCCTAGTAAGTAGCGTTCTTTAGATGAAAACTCATCTTCGAGCATTGCACGCATTTGAAAATCTGGATCTTTGCTAAATTAAATGCTAGCACTTTTTCTTGTTTCTTGGATAAGAAAGATCTACAAGGTATTTCATTTTATGATGTCTAATTCTTGGCACAACTGGTTGCAGATTTTTGTACAGAAAATTAAGCAAATTGGTTTGGAGCAGACAACAGCTATTATTAATAAAGCCATCAGGGAGCAAGCGGATGGCTCTGTACCCGGCTCAGAGAGCCTGGCAAAATTCGCAGATTGTCTGTTCTTAAGGTCAAACCAGGAGCTTCTGATTGAGGCTGTGGCTCTTGAGAAGCTGAAGGAGATCGCTGAACAAGCTGAAAATAATGGTGAAGCGGAGTACTTTGATCAAATGATTGCTCTTGTTAGCCACATGAATGAGCGGCTTGTTTTGATGAAACAATCCGAGAGCTCTAACCCTGTTCTGGTACCTGCTGATTTCTGTTGCCCCCTTTCACTTGAGCTGATGACAGATCCAGTAATTGTGGCTTCGGGGCAAACGTATGAGCGGGCTTTTATCAGGAAATGGATTGATCTTGGGCTTACTGTATGCCCCAAGACACGACAAACTTTGGCCCATACCAATCTTATTCCTAATTACACTGTAAAGGCACTGATTGCAAATTGGTGTGAAGTGAACAATGTGAAGCTGCCCATGAAGTGTATGAGCTTGAACCAGGCAGAGAATATCACCCTTAGGGACCCACATATCCTTCCTCATGCAAGAAGCAACCAACCCCTGTCACCTGATTCAACTCGATCTACGGGTTCACTTGGAAACAACCTAATTTCATCTAGTGGTATCCATCGAGAGGGAACTTCTCCGTCACATCCTCGTTCCTTTTCAGAGGGTTCCCTTCCTGCTGTATCTGGAAATGGGCACGGGTTAGATACTGCGAGATTATCACTAAACAGTTCTGAAGACAGTCCGTCTCACTCAGTAGAGCGAAGTTTGGAGTCAGCTAACCAAGCCATCTCTTCAGCGTCAACAATAGAGCAATCTAGTGCTAGTGGGGTCGATGAACAGTTGTCTCAGGGACATAATCGAACTGTCTCGGCCTCCAGCACACTTTCTAATGTGAATATTGCACAAGGGATTTCGGCTGATGGCAACGAGGTGTCTTCTTCACAGGCGACAGCCTACAATAGTGATGCTTCTGGGGAGCTGACATCAGAACCACAAGCTGCTACTACCTTGACTACCCCACAGAGAGAAAATGATTTCCCTCAAAGATTGGAGATAAGATCTCGAAGCCAAGCAATGTGGCGCCGTCCTTCTGATAGGTTTGTCCCGAGGATAGTTTCTTCTCCTGCCATTGAAACAAGGGCTGATCTTTCTGGAGTTGAAACCCAAGTCAAGAAGCTTGTTGAGGACTTGAAGACAAATTCACTCGATGCACAAAGAGATGCCACAGCTGAACTTAGGCTACTTGCCAAGCATAACATGGATAACAGAATTGTAATTGCAAGCTGTGGAGCCATTGGGTTGTTGGTTAATCTACTTCATTCAAACGACACAAAGATTCAGGAAAATGCCGTTACTGCACTTCTCAATTTATCAATTAATGATAATAACAAAGCTGCAATTGCCAATGCTGAAGCAATTGAACCTCTGATTCATGTTCTTGAGACAGGTAGCCCTGAAGCTAAGGAGAACTCAGCAGCCACTCTCTTTAGCCTCTCTGTTATTGAGGATAACAAGGTTAGGATCGGAAGGTCTGGGGCAATTCAACCACTGGTTGATTTATTGGGAAATGGGACTCCTAGGGGGAAGAAAGACGCGGCTACGGCTTTGTTTAATTTGTCAATATTTCATGAAAACAAGACTCGGATTGTGCAGGCTGGAGCTGTGAAATACCTTGTAGAGTTGATGGAACCGGCTGCTGGGATGGTTGATAAAGCGGTTGCTGTTTTGGCAAATCTTGCTACAATTCAGGAGGGAAGGATTGCTATTGGTCAGGAGGGAGGGATCCCTGTTCTGGTTGAGGTTGTTGAGTTGGGTTCTGCAAGGGGGAAGGAGAATGCAGCTGCTGCTCTTCTACAGCTTTGCACACACAGCAATCGATTTTGTAGCATGGTGCTTCAGGAAGGAGCTGTTCCCCCATTAGTGGCATTGTCACAATCTGGCACTCCGCGAGCCAAAGAAAAGGTATACTTCATAAATTGCTGCTCAATGGTTTTTCAAAAAAATTATATTTTGGGAAACTATTTAATCATGTCTGTTAAAATCTTACGATGCACGATTTGCTTTATAAGATTTGATTCACCTTACAAGTTTCAAGCAAAACAATTTAATTCGTGCAGTTGAATTTTAGATTGAGTGAATCTTATGATGTATTTGCGATTCACTTTGATTCATAATTCATTATGATTCAAGCGATTCAGTTGTGTTGGCATGATGGATGAAACGATGTCATTTTCACACACAAAAAAAGAGAAGATAAAAAAAGAGAACTAATTATATTGATATTTATTTCAGTTTAAACGTGTGTATTTTTATATGTATATACATATATAAAATTATATATTATGCTAAATAATATGAATCTTATGATTTATAATTCGATATATGATTCACTATTTTAATAAAATGATTCACGATTCAATTCACGATTGGACAACAGTGATTGTAATGAGTTTTTGGTTGGTTGCAGGCTCAGGCACTTCTTAGCCACTTTAGGAACCAACGGCACGGTGGTGCTGGGAGGGGCTGACCAAAAAGGGACCTTTGGATGTATCCAATGCTTTGTGGTAAGATATATAGTGTGTAAATCTATCATATTGCAAATAATGCTTAAGAAGGTCCTATTTCTTGAATGTTTTCTTGATTTGTGAAGAGAAATGAAAATGAAATTGAAAATGAAAAATGGAAAAATGATTCGTGGGGGGTTGATTGATTGCCCTCTCATGAATGACTTTCTTGTGAATGTGGGAAAAAATTGTATACCTGTAAGTTTAGTCTCTCTTTTTTTTTTTTCTTTTTTTTCTTTTTTTTTGATAAGTAATGAGTTATCCAGACTTATTTGTTGATGTTTGAACATGTAATGTGATTTTTGGCAAAACAATTGAGATGAATACTCATTTTATTTTATTGATGTCATGCATTTCTCTTTTTCCTCCCTTTCGTTTATCGGGATTGTTATTGTTTTTCTTATTGTATTTCCTTTTTATTTGTTAGTGATATAATCATAGTTGCTAGAGTAGAGGAGAAGACTTCAATTGACATGAGATTTTGTAGTAAAAAAACTATATGAATTAAAAGAAAGAAGATGTATAGCCAAACTTAATTTATTGGACACAAGTCCTTGGTTTGATTGTGTTTGGTTTAATCTGTGCTCTACATATTTTGTTCCATTGTTGGTGTGCTTTGTGATATGTGCCCTGTACAAATGAATGTATTTTCGATAGAGCAGTGATATATAAATAAATAAAAATTTATTCATTTATTTAGAATGATGTAGCTTCTTGTCGCCCCTATATTTAAAATATAATCTTCATCATTATGAACAAAATTTACAAATTAAAGTATGTAGTTATCATATCATTCTGAAAGTAAATTCTGTATAGAAGTTACTGGTGATTTGGCTGTTTCCATGTTGATATGTATCATTTTTATCATGATTTGGGAGTTTCAATATATTTCTACTTGTTTTCAGTTTTCAAAAACACCAGATGCTGTCCTGTTAAGAGTCTGATCCCGATAGCCCTACCAACCAAATCCAATATGTAGATTCCTTTGTGGCCATGGATACCCTTCCTATTTGCGGAACACAGTGGTTTGTTGCTTGATTTATAGTGCATATATATATATATATATATATATTTGTGTGTTGCGTTGAATCTCTTGTGGGAGCTATGAGGACATTAAGATTTGAACTATACGAATCTTTTGCCATCATGTGAACCATTGCCTGCAAAACCTGTAACGATTCCTTCTGGATTCATCAAGGAATTTGATACAGCTGTGCTAATTCCCTTGACCTAAAAACTTAGAATTTGACATCATCGTTGTTCTGATTGGAGAGGCCATCATTTGAATCTTCTCGTTCTCTTTTGATGTCATTTACACATGAGAGGTTGACATGGGGACAATTTTGTTCAGCTTTCCCTCCTCATTTGGTTGTTCAGATCAGATTGACTAAAATATGCTGTTTTCTTCCTGCTTCATGACTATTATGTTGTTGATGTTGCAAATTGATTCATGTTAATTGTCCTTAGTTTAGGATATATGAGATGGAGAGGATCAAAATCCAAAAGTTTGGAACACAATAGGAACATAATTTATTTGTTGATCAGGAAAGGAATGGAATCAGTGGATAGGCTAGGAGGCATGTATTGTTCACTGGAATGAAGTTTGAAATAGAATTGTCATTTTATCGAAATATTCAATAAAGAGAAAAGTATTTCAAATGGAATCATTATTCACCAATTCAGAAGAAATGTTAGTCTATTGTAAGGTCAAAGAATTGCCATCCCTTCATGTTCAAAATTATTCCAGCAATCCAAACACTACCTACAATATAAGACTACAAATGAAAACAATTTTAGACTATCCACACAACATCCGAAAATTGCAATGACTCCCAAACCTTTAGGCAAGTTTGACTAAAAAGAATCACAATGCAATGTACCCCTTCATTAACACCATAATACGAAAAAGTTTTATTACGTCCACAGAAAAAATACACAGAATCAGCAATGACTCCCAAATTTAATTACCAGCCACATAAGCTTGAGACGAACATAAATCATATACCTACACCGGCATTCTTTCGGTTAGCTTTTAGGATACACTTTTTTCTCAATTTTGACAGTAAAATTTCTCATATTCAATTTTTTTTTTTTTTTTGTGGATAAATAAATAATTTATCATATTCATTTTTGGCTCTCAAAAGAGAGAAAAAGCACTTCCTTATTACTAACCCAAACTTATTAAACAATCAATCAATAGCTAGCTAGAACTAAGATGAAAGTAAGAGACAAAAGTGGGGAAATGGGGGAGTGAACAAGTATCTCTCTCTCTTTAAGGGCACTTGGATGTGCCCTTGGAGTTGAGCATGTCTCTGTAACAAGGGCACTCTGACTTGTTTCCGAAAGTCCCTGACGGAACACATTCGCACTTCTTGCAGCAGACCCCGCAGTCTGTCAGGCAACGTTTCTTTTCTCCCGCCTTGGAGCACCTGTCTGTGCACTTGGAATCGCAGGGATAACCACCTTCAAAATAATCAACAAAGCAAGACCAGTCAGATAATTATGGAATGTATGTATGTATGTATGTGTGTGTATATATATATATATAGAGAGAGAGAGAGAGAGAGAGAGAGATTACTTGGGGGGGTAGCCTGAGCCATGGTGGCTTGGAAGAAAGAGGAGCTCAGAAGCAGTGAAACAATAAGCAAAGCTGCGAAAACAAGCTTCATTTTTGCTTGTATGAAAGAGAGTTTTAAGAGAGGAGAAACTGAGAAAGACTGGAATGGCAATATAGGCTGTGAACTAAACCACTGGGATGTGTGTTGTATTGTAGATGTGATGGATCTTATGGGACTTTAGGTGGGGGTATTTATAGTGATCATGTACGGGTTTACCTATGAAATACATTAACATAATAGTATCTATATAAAATACACTTATTTAGTGCGTCGGTTCTTTAAATTTTTATATTGTCAATTTCATCTTTAAAATTTTTAATTTTAGTCAAATTGATCTAATTTTAGATTGTCATTTGAATCATTAATTGAATAATAATAAAATTCAACCAGTCCCTAGAATATGTGTTCTATGTCATTCATGTCTTCTTAAATTTAATTTTATCAATTTTGACATTATAAAATTACGTTTCGTCTTCTTCATTACTGTTTAGGGGTGAAATTTAAAATATTAAAAATTCTGAAGATCAAATTTACACTGAAGGCATATTTTAGGGATTAAATGATCATTCAGTTAAAATTTAATTCATATTTAAAATTTTATAGATAAAATTAAGATAATTAAAACTTTGAGAATCAAAGTGTCACGAAACACATATTTTAAAACCATAAATTCTATTTTATGAACAATACTACACATATAAGATAGTTGTACAAAATTTTATTACAAACTAAAATGACATGCAATAATAAAAGGAACCTATAGAACAAAAGGAACTCAACCAACCGAAGAGAATCCTTTTCGGCTCCAGTCATCATTTGACACTTGACACCGAAGAGAATCCTTTTAAGCTCCAGTCACCATTCAACACTTGACACAGATGAAGTGTTCGATGTTAGTTGTAATTGGAGAGGATCTAGATCCTCAATTAACAAAACTGACTTGGACACTCAGTTATAAAAAAAAAAAAAAGAGAAAAAAAGAAAAGAAAGTGACAAAAAAGAGTTAATAAGCGATAAGGCATTCTCACTCAAACTCAAGCATTTACTTTTATAGTATTAGACATTAGTCATAGTAATTTATGCGTTTTATTTGTTTGTATAACATTACTCATATTTTATTATCAAACATGGACAGAGAGAAAGAGGTGGGTCTTGGGGAGGAGGAGAATCTAGGAAGAAACCCATGATAGAAAAAAGAAATAATATATATATATAGTTACAGCTTCATTACAGACTGTTTTGAAGCATGAAGTTGTGGGGATGATAGTGGGTGTGGTGGTAGTGGGAAATGGTGTACCAGTGGTCTTTGTTGACTCTTTGGGTTACAATCGCTGTTTGCGAAGCTTACAACGCAGCTTCTAATCTAAAACTCATATTTGCAAAAATTAAATTTCAAGAATCTTAATAAATTAGTTCAGTCAGTTGTTGTCTATATGTCTTTAAATAATGTTGTTTTATTTTATAATAATAGGGGGGATTAATTCATTCTTGCAAGATTACAAGCTGTTTAGCAAACCCCCTCTTGCAATTCTTTGAAGTCAACCACTCAGCAGACACACCGAAGCTTCTACTTCACTGGTTTGATATACATGGGTGTAACTTGTAAGTTTAAAGTGAGATTTTTAATCAGATGGTAATACAAGCAAAGCGAGATTTGACCGAAAACCCACGTGATAAATAATCTAAATTTATATAGTTCCAACCATAGAAAGAAACTCACCTCCCCCACCATAGTCTGGTGGACCATTCCCAACTGTGTGTGTCTTTCCCATATGCTTTTAAAAAAAACTAGTCTTTGGATGGTTTAGACATCAGGGAGTGCGTGGCCTTGTGTCTCAGTGTAGTGACCTCTTGTCACGAGGAGATAATGCTCTTTGGTTATTTGAGGAACACTGAACTTGACCACAGAAATTAAAGAAGAGTTTAAAGTGGGAATAATCTTTGGTGTGAAGAAGGGAATGGCCAATGGATACAGAACTCGGCCACAAAATAACACAGAACACTCGCAACAGTTGTGCTTGACAACTGTGGCGCCACAACACCCCTATGAGAGGGCCAAACAATACTTCAGTGTTCTATGTCACTTTCTTTCTCTGTCCAATCCTGTGTCCCAAACATTGTTAGGAAGGAAAAACACAAATCCAACTCGAGATTAAACCTACATTGACATGCTGGATACATATGAAACAGTCACTTTCCAAGCAATTTGGCAAAAGTAATCGAGTTTTGAATATGATATACGAACGATAAAACCTCTAGGAAGCAAAAGCCTCTCTATTGGTAAGGGCTTAAGTTGAAAGTTGAATTCTGTCACAACCTAAACCATCTCTATTCACACAACAGTCATTAAAGGAGCATGGCTATATAATTTTTCACCTTTCTCTCTCTAAAAACTCTCTTTCTAAAAAACCTCCATCTCCGGCCTCACCTCTGACCAGCCGGCTGCCACCTTTGGCCATGGCGGTTGGCTAGCCTATCTTTTCTTCTTGTGTACATGGTTTTTCTCCTAATAAACTTGAGCCCCCATTAGTTTTCCACTATCTCCTTTTCAGATCTAATCTCTAGATTTGCTTAGGATGTTGTTTTGGTTCTATCGTTTTTGTGTAGGATGCTTGTTTTCACAGGCGTTCTTCGGGGTTTTTAGCTAAATATTCCTTGGGTGGCTTTAGAACTATCATATCCGGCAGTCTGAAAACTTGTTGGGTCTACACTCTGTGGGTTTTGATGCTCATGGAAGCTTTGATGGGTTTTTTTCTCGAATGGAAAGGTTCGGTGGAAGTGGTGCCTCGGCCATGGTGCTCAGCTTCAGCCATGGATTTCGGTTTAGGATGGGTGTGTTGAACATGGGTGGGTTGGTTCAGGAATTTCATTCGGGCACTTCCTTGCGAGTGGGAGTTTGAGGGGTGGAGGATCCAGAGTTGTTTAGGATCTCCATTCGGGTGCTCCTGTGCAAGTGGGAGTTTGAGGGGTGAATTCTGTTCCATTCTATGGTGGTCGGTGCTTGTGTTCGGTTAAGAAGAGATTGGCGCTGGGTCAACAAAGAGGGGACTTCTCAGCGTTGTTGGTGAGGATCAATCGAGAGAGTTGTTTGGGCGAGGAAAACCATGGGAGAAGTTTAAGATGGAAAACCGGGTTTTGCAGGTTACAAGCGTGGTAACAGCACCAGCAGCCCTAGTCCTAGAGGCAGAGCCAGTGGCTGCTGAAGAAGAATCAAAGGAGGAGGCTGCAGCAGCAATAGAAGAGGCACCAGCAGCAGTCCTGGTGGAGGTTGAAGTCGAGAGCAAGGAATTTGTTAAGGAGAAACCAGCAGAAAAAGTGGTTCCAGAGGTGAAGCAAGAAGAGGCTGTCGATGTTGCTCGGCGTCGAAGGTATTGCAGACACAGGTGGTTCTCGACGGCAATGGAGCCTGAGTGTCCGGCAATTGTGGAGGTTGAGGGTGTTGCGGGACAGGAGTGGGGTTTTCGAGACAAGAGTGGGGTTTTTGTGTTGTCGAGTCAAACGTGGGGTTTACTAGTGTAACTGTGTTTTAGGTGTGGGGCTCAAGAGTTTGGTTTGTTTTTTTAATTGTCTTTTAAAATATAAAATCGTGAGGCTAAGAGGTTGGTTGTAAGAACGCGAGTAGCAGTAGTAGGAGAGAGAGTCTTTATTCTTCGAATCTCTCTCAATGCGTTTTATTTCCTTGTACCTTTAAATTTCATGTTTTTAATGGAATTTTTCTTTGCCGATCAAAAAAAAAAAAAAAGGAAAAAAAAGGAGCTTAACAGAAAAGAGATATCCGTCAACCTCCCAAACCAGACGAAGGGCTAAAATGACGATCACATGAATATTCTTTTGTGTCATGGCTGGATGCAAGCAAATTGACCTGTGTAGAGACCTATTGATATTAATTGTTCTAAAGGAGAGCTTCCAAAGATAACAACACAAAGGACAAGAATGCATAAAAGTTACCTTGATGATATCCGACTTTGAGCTGGGATGCGTAAAGGTTGCTAAGATAGCCATTTGAAAATCCTGGTTTTAGATTCCCAAACAAACAAAAAGAGCAGAAATATATATGCTCAGATTCTTATCTCAACAAGGAAAGAATATGAATATTTTACTCCTAGAAATATTCATGATGTTTATAGAGGGATGATAACTCTTCAAACAACAGGGGTTGAACAACTTTTGCAGAACTTCCAAGTTCAAAAGAACTATAATGCTATTATGATAACACATTAAATTTGAAGCAGAGATAACTTACTCTAAAAGGATCACCCCTTAAGGATTGCACAAACATTGAGTTTCCCGAGCCCCTACCCTGCAATGAACAAAATGCACTTGACATCTTCAAAATGGCAGTTATTAACAAGTAGTGAAGAGCGCAGACATGGTTATGTTTATGTGAGAAATGTACCTCCAAATAAACATCCCTAAGTCGCCTTCCAGTTTGAGCACAGCAAACTCGAACAACAGGTTCATCACAACTCCCACTGATGATATAGTCCCTTCCATTCATGTAATATGACCGAGTATAATTGTGGGCACTTCCTGTTGAAGGCAGATCAAATTTTGTGTGAAGTCTCCCATCTACCGCCATAAGCTGTTTAACCTGGTACCTTAACAGCTGTTAGTCCCAATCTTGTACCATCAAAGAACACCATTTATGGTTATTCTACACTAGAAAACTATAGTGCAAATCTTATTTCAAGAGCAATACCTCATTATCCACAGCTGACACAAGCAGATGGTGGTCATCAGGTGAGAAGCAAACCATTACATTTCCTCTTGAGCTTGAAACTGTATAGCAAGGTTGTAGAGGTTGCTGCCGAAGGTCCCACATCTTGACATCATGGTCAAAGGATGAAGTAACAAATATGGAAGGAGAGTGGTGAGCAAATTTAGCAACATTAATGGGTCCTCGATGCATATCATTGAATAACTGTAAACACTTTCCACTGTCAATGTCATACAGCGCAACATGTTTCGAGTAACCACATGTAAGAAACTGATCATTTGTTGAATTGACATGAACAGATGTCAGCTGCTCAAAGTTACCAAAGGTAACATTACTGGAAGAAGCATAGCCATCCGCAATATTCGGCAGCATATGATTAACGTCAAATAATCTCAAGGAACCATTATCTGAACCAGTGAGGAACTGATTATCCAATGCCAAAAAAACAACAAATATTAGCAATTCCCATCTGACAAAGCTCACTTTTGAATGCTGTAATAGTAAAAATTAAAGTGCTCTTGTTCAGAACTAGTGGAGACTGAATCTTCAAATAATGAAGCTCAATGATTTTAAGAGAATGGAGAGTTTTGTTCAAGGATAATTACATCAAAATGCTCCTCTGAAGCATATGTTCATAAGCCTATCTCCACAGACCAGAGTTTTCTGACTGCGTTGCTCTCCTTTATTATATTCAACAGCATTTTTTCAGAGAGAGAGAGTGAGAGAGACTTTGCGTCAAACACACCTGATGCATATAAAGAATTATTGCCGTAATTTGATTAACAAAAATTTGATAAAAGATGGTTAACATGGTGATCCATATTGGGTTTTGATTCTTAGATCTCAGGCATGTATCCTACAGGAAACAGAAAGCCTTCAAGTGCATTCTGCATCGTAGCATTTGGCTTTAAATATATATATATATATTTTGTGGTGCTAGAAAACATAAATACCCTTAAAAAAATTTCGGCAACAACCTAAAAAAGTCAAAAAGTCACTATCAAAAAAACTATTCTCTACTTTTCTGTGCGTCTTTTCGTAAAAAGTCAAAAAACCAACTAAAATCACTTCCCAAAACAAAATGGAAAGTGAGATTCTAATATAATACAAAACAAAGTTAGAAATATGCATCTAAAGATTGTTATTTATTGGAAAGCAAACTGAATTCTCCATCATATAATTTATTAAAGTTAAACTGCATACCTTGGATGGATACTTCTTAAGCCAACAGAGGCCCAGAACACTGTTCATAACTCCAAGGGATGGGGAGATAACCAATAATATGCCCATTCTCATGGTTGATAACGACTATTTCCCCATCTAGAGTTCCGAAAACCATAAGACTAGAGTTTGATGGATGATATTCAAACTGCCTTGGCCGAAGGCTCTTAACTTCTTCTTTGATAATGTGGCAAATGTTAGACACTGGATGTAAGAGCGGCCATGCAGAAGACCCAAGTTTGGCAGCACAAAGAGACCTAGAGTAGAAATGTTGGCTTTTTCTATAAGACAGTGGCTGCCTTGGCCGGGATGAGTTATGGTGGTGAATTCTACTCACTCCAGTTTCACGCATATGTAAAATGCTGACAACACTCTCTTTGTGCTGTCGTTTATATGGTAAGAACTCATAATATTCGAAAAAGATAATCTTGGCCATTTCCCTTTCCACCTTTCTGATTGGCAGATTATCTAAAACGGTCAAGTGAGGCAATGAGACAATCATGTACTCCCTATAATATTTCTCAAAGCAGATAGGCGAAGGATGATGTGAAACATAATTCTTGAATGTGGTAGAGGCATCCTCTAACTCGAAGTTGTAGTTAAGTGCACTAATAGGAGATTTATCTCCGTCTTGTGTACACAATTTGCTAAAAGCAACCAGCTATAAAGATTTGAAAATCCAGTAGCAAGAGGTAGTTTCTTGTTGAAATAGTAAAATCGACAACTTCACTAGAGAAACTACGTTTTAACTTCAATCGGCAAATTAGACTTTCCATTCCAGACAGCAAGGGAATCGGATGATTGCTCCACTAAACCTGATGTTTGAACATGACCTGAAAATTCAACACACAATGATCTGGTGAATCTTCAGTCATGCTTTGAGTACGAGTTCCTGATAATGCCTTAAATGTACAAATTTTTCTTGAAATACTCAGTTCTGCCACAATCAAGATCTGTTATTGCACTGGATGACATGGCAAGGACCAGTGCCTTTGCAACACAAACAATTTTGAAACCGGAGTTCCACCAATGAAGGAATTTTTGATAAGGCAGTACTAGTTGTCCACAGATCAGCAACTCTTGTTTCACACATTGAAAGACCATCAGATTTGGCAAGCAATTGAAACAATCCTTCTGCATACATGTAAGAGAAGCACAAAAGTCCAGATTAAGGGTGTGTAGTTGCTTGAAAATTCCCACTATGTAGAGCTCTCGGATGTCAGAAGACCTCAGGTTCAAAACTTGGCAAGACAAACCACCCTGGGAAGGATCCCTGGAGAAATCCCAAATTGATCAAGGAGTTAAAATCAATAACCTTACATTTTTAGAAACCATCCATTTAACTCTTGTTATTAGCCCAGACAAATTTTTTCTATTCCTACTGCTCGATTTGAGTGTTACAAAAAAATTATGCTGAATGTCTGAAAACTCCGTTTGCCTCATTTTTAAAGTTTTCACATAGAGAGCAACAAAGGGTAAACTGGAAGATTAGCAAAATTTAAACAATATACATGATTATTGCACAAGAACTCTAGATTTGAAGGTGTTAATGTTCAGGAAAGCACTAGCACAGAACAGAAGAAGTCGTCCACAAGTGACATATCCTGGAGATCAACGATTCGGAGCTTCAAATTGATTGCACGCAACAAAGACATAACATAATCTTTGTTATGGCACAGTGTGATTCGTGAATTATGTCAATCGCATCAATATCAGAAGAGTCGACTGGCAGGAAGACATCAATAAATGGAGAGAAATCGGCATCCTTTAGGTCATCCAATGTAATGACCGTATTACATTTCTGGTGAATGGATTTCTGAATCTTGGCCTGAGTGATAAGGAAAAATATTATTCATTGCAATAAGCTTCATCACCCTCAACAGAAAAATGGTGCAAGCTTTAAAGAGTCAAAAACTGAAATTCTTCAACCAAATTGGAAAAATTATGTCATAAAAGTATAACAAACACATGGGCTTCATTTGCACCATATAGTAAGAGAAGATTCATATTTCATTGTTGAACGAACAGAAAGTATGACATGATGTTGAAGTCAATCACTTAAAATTCGTTAACTAAAGACAAAATTATGCCCAAAAGCTTCCAGTGAAGCCAACTCCAGTAAATCATCTATAAGCAAGACAACCCCTTCGTGATCTATTTTAAACTACCTGATACATTAGCTAGTTTAATTTTAATCTGGTGTTCTTGTCACTTTGTTTAAGCCATTGAATATAATACCAGATTTTTTAAAGTTAAAGGGTTTGGAGAATCAGGAATTGGAACTATCTTCTTCCCCAAAAAAACTTTGGATAGAGTTTTAGAATTATGATTTGAGAATAGAGTTGTATTTTGAGTTTGTGAGTGTTGGAATTATGATTTGAAAAGAGAAAATTTGTTTGGTTATGAGTTTTGAAAACATTTTTGAATTGAGTTTTGAATTTTTAATGTGACATATGAAAGGAGAAAATTTGTTTAGTTATGAGTTTTGAAAAGAGTTTTTAAAATTTAAATTCAAAAATTTATAACTCATAACCAAACGCACAACTCAAAACTCTATTGAGAATTCTATTTAAGACTCATAACCACACTCTTTTTAAAATTCAATTCAAAAAAATAATTTCTCATTTTGGTTTAAAAAAATAATTTCTATGTTTAAAAAATATCGAAAGCATTTTTTTTTTTTTTTTCAAATAACAGTTGGCGATTGGCAAATTGCCAAAACAAAAAAATGTACTATTCCAGTGTAGACCCAAAAAAATTTGAAAACTCGCTAGGAGAGGCTCTATCAAACGTGTTGTGAAAGGTGTTTTGAAATGTGAGGTCAGAATCAGTTTTTGAAAATTTTATCCAAACAGAGGCTTCGCGTATGAGGGTGGAACTAGGATTCCAAAACTACACCAAACACAGAACTCTAATATTAGCTCTACCATATTCTAGTTCCATTTTTAAAAGTTTCTGAAAAAAGGACTCAAGATTGTATAATCTCCTCAAGCACCTAATGCTTATTTGTGATATTCCCCAACTACACAACTTTATGTATCAGTTTCTCCAGTCATCAAATTCTGATTAGTACAAACTAAAAAAAAATCCAAAGCATAAGTAACAACTATTGATATTGTGTGTGTCAATTTCTGACCACACTGCCAATCAAGCACTCAGCTGGAGAACACTGGTAGAATAGATTAAGCCCGAACGACCTGTCACAAAAAGAAGAGATTCCGGCGGTGGTTCATTTACCCGGGGGCACTCCGACGATCAAGTCAGTTATCTCTCAAAGATAGCAAAAGTGCTTAACTCACTATTCAGAGCATAAAAAGCATACCTTAGACCCATGATAGTGCCTCTCTTTTATAGCCAACACAAACCTAGTCCCAATAGAAGCCTAGCTTCAATGGACTTAGGATTACTGCTAATTTTAGACTCTCAGTAAGATTGGGATAAACTCTCTAAGAGTTTTATCTTTATCCAAACTGAAGTCCTCTCCCACTCTAGGACTCTTGTCCCTTATCCGCTTATCCCGGATTCCGGTTTCTTCGCAGATAACCTCGGCCTAACCGAGATCATCTCGGCATCATGACTAAGACACGTGGCATTTCGGCTGGCACTTCAGTGACACCTCGGTCACGTGTTGTCATTCAAAAATTATGTCCCCACAGATATCATAAATCTTTTTATCCTCCAGCGTAGCTTAAATTAGTAAAAGGACAATGAAGGATGACCTCGTAAAACCATTACAAAAGTGTTGAATTCGGCAGCACCTCATGCCTCTTGCAAGAATCAAGATACCTAGCACCCAAATCAATGTGAATTGAGCATTAAGATGGCATCCAAAGGAATACAAATTGCTATATCAATCTAGATTTATTGGTGTACAGAAAACAGAGAAACAATTGAAATATCAAAGACATTTATACCGTGTTTGGTTGGGAGATTTATGGAGGAATTTGGAAATGGAAATAGAAAAGGTAGGTGAATTGTGAATAAAATATACTTAAATTTCACATAGTTTCACACACCTTTTCCCTTTCCCTTTTCTTTTCCAAATCCTTCCCCAAATCCTCCAACCAAACACAGCATTAAATTATCAACTCTTAAAGAACAATAATTCACTAATGCTAGATATCATGAAAGATTTGTGACCTTTGGATTACACTTTGAATAAAGCACCACACACTAATCAAGGTAATCTAAAGGTCACAAATCCTTCATGATCATTTTCATAAAAAAAATTTCATGATCTCTAACATTTCTCACAGTAATTTTCCTTCATTTTTAGTTATATATACATATACGTAAAGCAGTTCATAAGAATCAATGGTTAGAAACTGGTCTCACTCATGAGAAATGACAGAGGTAACAACAATTAGTGAGAAAATTTAAAAAAAATCATTTACACTCCGTTTGGATCTTGAGGGAGCTAAGAAAAGAAATTATTGTGGTTTCTCATTTAGGTGAGAAAAGAAAAGATATGATTATCATTTTTCTCCTCTATGTTAATAAAAGAGAATAGAATGTGCTTTTTCACCTATCTAAAATAGAGTAGGTAAGAGAAAAGAAAAAAACTATGTGCTTTTTTTTAGGGTTGCTATTACGTACCTAATTTCTTTGGATTCTTCATTTCTTTGAACCCCCACCTAAATCCTTAATTTTAATAAGATTTGTATGAATACTCCACTTAATAATAATATTCATAATATGTTCACACCCATGTGAACATCTACCTAATTTTGCACACTTTTTTTTCTTCTCTCAGTAAACAATGAACGATTGAGGACAACAAAGATTGAAAGACTAATCGACTATCTCTCTCTTCTCCTTCTCTCATAAATGATGGTCACTTTCTCCTTGTCACCGTGAATAACGGTATCTCAGTCGAAAATCTCGTTGGAAATTTCTTCGACGATCTCTTTTTTCTTCTCTCACGTATCTCACAGGGGATTTTAGAGAGAAAAACCCTCAGAAAAAATAGAAATAAGGGAAAAATCCTCTAAAATGGAACCATTCAGCATTCCAGTACCGAATAAAATTTTTATGTTCAGCACTATATTATTGAACTAAATGTTTCTGTTTAGTACTATATTACTTAACAGAACCTTAACAGTCAGTAAACCAGTACCGAACTAAAAATGACCCAGAATTATAAATGCAAGATAGATAAACTTACCAATACAACGCTAATCTCATCAGAGTTGTTGTCATCGCCCTCCATTGTTCTATAAATATCAACGAATGGTGAAAACGACCACAAATGTAGAAACTCGGAGTCTGTAATAGGATTGTTTGCAATGTTAACTGATTTAGAATACCGAATACATTTGAAACCACTGAACAAAACGTTAACTGATTAGATAGTTTCAAATGTTTTTCATTGAAGATGAATATGTGTGTTTGGGATGGTGATGAAGAAGAATATAGTTAGGGTTTAGGTTGGTAAGGAACACGTATAAATAGGGATGAAGGTTCATTCTAATTGTTTTCATTTAATGGGTGGGTGTTTCATTAAAAATTGTTCTTTAATGTAATTTTACTTCAATATATAATTGTAATAAAAAAAAGGGAAAGAATTGAAAGGTCCAAAGAAATTAAGTAATAACAACAATCTTTATTTCATTTTACCAAAATAATCTTTCATTTTTCACATGGATAGTTTTGATATTTTAAATAAGTTTTATTAAACCTAATTCTTTTCTCATCAAATCTCATCATTTTGTGAGAAACAAAACAGAGTTTGGTGAGAGAGCATTTCTCACCTACATAACCATCCATCCAAACAAGGGAAGGGTTTTCAATTCTCACAATTTCCTTTCTTTTCTCACCAAACCACTCCATTTAGTACAAACTTTTTCCTTTTTTTGGGGGTCCATTTCCCTAAATAAGCCAAATTATCAATTCAATTTCCAAACTAAGCCTAGTTTTGAAAGAATTCCCAAAATAGGCTAAAACGTGGTTCACAACCACGCTTTCAACGTCTGTGTGCCTGTCCCGCGTGAAAATTTGGAAGTCTTAAAAGCGCAATTACAAAAGGCGCTTTTAATTAAATTTTTTTTCTTCTGAAATCGCTGTTCTGAACCACGCTTTTAACTCAAATTTTTTTTCTTTTGAAAGCACGGTTGTGAACCACGCTTTTAACCAAAAAAATTTTTCTTCTGAAATCATGGTTATGAACCTAAATTTTTTTTTCTTTAGCTTAAATTTTTTTCCTTTTGAAAACGTGGTTATGAACCACGCTTTTTGGCAAAAAAAATTTCTTCTGAAAGCGTGTTTGTGAACCACGCTTTTTACATAAATACACCAATTATTTAGTTTCAGTTTAACTGAACTCTGAAGAAGAAATTTTTTTTTTTTTAGTTTTTTTTTTTTGTTTTGTTTTGTTTTGTTTTTGTTGTCATTGTTTTGGTGATAATGTATTTCAGAATATTTTTTTGGGTTAAAATTGTTTTACTAAAATCGTTCTCATGTTAATTTTTCTTTTGTCTTTATTTTGGGTTAGAAGGTGTAATTCAGAATTTTTTTTTGGCTTTACTAAAGTAAATTTATTTTGTTTTTTCTTGTGTTTGTTTTGGGTTAGTAGGTGATAATGTAATTCATAAATTTTTTGAGCTTTAGTAAAGCCGTTTTGATGTAAATTTTTATTTTATTTTATTTTCTCTTTGTTTTGGGTTAGAAGGTGTTATTCAGTAATTTGTTTGGGCTTTAATAAAGCCGTTTTCATTTAAATATATATATTTTTTCTTTTGTCTTTGTTTTAGGTTATGTAGACACCCCATTTTTGACCGTCCTCAAGACTTGGACGTCACCATTTGAACACTCGGTGATCATCCTTGTTTG